CCAGCTTGTGTATTTTACAATCTATTAATTATAATGTTGCATTCATCTTATCTATTTTATTAGTCTGCATTTCATGTCGCGTATCACCATGTTGGACAATATTGCGTCATCAGACATAATCACATGACTCCCCAGTGTAGTGAGTCATAGTTTGTTACGCATTTCCATAAAGTGACGGTTTATATTTAATCTTGCTGTATTGCACAGTTTTCATATTAGTCATGCAGATAATGCAAAGTGTAGCATTTAAATGTAATAGAAATACATGACAGGAAAGGAAGTCATGCTTTAAATGCACAGAGGCTGAAGAATGTCACACCTAAAGGTTGGCATAACGTGTACCTGCTCTATTTATAGTTGAATAAGAATGTTGGAGATGAAATGTCTAAATTAATTAGTTATATCAGCCGTGGTCGATAGCGCAACTTCTAGAAAGCAAAGTTCCACATTCTGGGTCAAACAGAAACACTCCTGTCTACGCCAGAAAACGATCGCTTGACTGAACGAAGATGCTTCAGAAGCCTCATCAGAAAATGTGCAACATCAATTGAAAAATATTGTTCACTAAAATCCAAAAATGAACTTCTTTGTGTTAATGTGGTTTTCTCTGCCTACTGTAAAACTTTAGACCCTCCACTCTGACCTCAGGGGCCTGAAGCGGAGCAGAAACATCATGTTTGTTTAACGTAGTTTTAAAAACTTTGCAAAAACAATGGTAAAATCTTCCATTGTCCTTCCTGGACATTTACTTTACATCTGATAATAATGATTAGGGTTGAACTTTTTCTTCTTAATTTGGAAAGTTGGGGGCTCACCATTTGATGTGAACATTTGCGTTTATCCTTTGTGTTTTCTGGGGAAAAATCCAAGTCGATCCTTTCGCTTCCGTTTTAAGCAGCAAGTGCACAAAGTTCATTGTTGGAAGGTAAACTTGAGGAAACCTAAACAGGTGGTCGGATACCTGCACAACACAGTGTGCTGCATTACACGATGTTGCAGAGCACCGTGTTGTTCCTCGTAGCATCGCTGCACGATATTACACCATACAGTTGTCTGCGAGACGGTGTCGTGTCAAAAATCATGCTGCCTTCTCCACAAACGGTTGCATTTCATCACTGCTGTATAATTTAACAGCATCTCGGACTGGTGACGGTTCAGAATGACTCTTCGGCAAAAAGCAGTCCACTCTATTCCACTTTCAAACTTCATCCCAATAAAACGAAAACCTGAAAACCTCTATCCACAAAACGACGTGCACGTATGTTTTTAGATGATTGAGACAGATTATAATTGAGTTGTGTTTTGGTGCTTACCTTTGCCCAGGGTAACCCTCAGAGTATTTATTGTTCAGACAGGAACCCTGCGCCTCCAGGGCTGCACGGCTGCAAAAATTCTGACAAGACAAGCAAGCACAGTGTCGGCATAGGCACATATGCCTTAAAAATAATAAAAAATCTGAACAGACTATCCAAATTTAGCTTTATTTACCCAGAGAAGGCTTTACAGCCAGAGACTGTGACCACTATATAAATTTAGCTCTCCTTTGTGCTTTTGGATTGGCTTTCCTTTCACATACAAGCTAAAATAATCACCCAAAAAAAAAAAACAACAACAATGACTTTCTGTGTTGCAAAATATAATGGATGATAAAATCTTACTTTGTGAATTTGTTTGTGCGCCTCCCATAAATTGCTGTCTGAAGCTTTTAAAATATATAAGAGGAGAAAAAGCTGCAGAAACGGAACTGAATGCAAATGAATTTTCCTCCTTCTGTCAGTTTTGTCTCTTCTCCCACTCTCGCTCCAGCTTTTTTTTTTTTTACTTTTTTTTTTACCTCTTCCTCTCCCACATCCTCACCTCTCCCTCCCCCTTCCTCCCCCTCTGTAAGTCTTATTATACTAAACCTGTCACTGTTCAGGGATCCCTCAATCATCCCAGTGAGCTTTAAAACAAGCTCCCTGTCTGACACTGAACTCTTTCTGTGACATTTTTGAAACACTATCCTGACACACAGAAATACACACTCATACTCGACTTCCCTTCCTCCTCCTCTTCTTCTGCTTTCAAAATGTTTACATCAATAAAGAATACGCACGGGAAAGCTAATGGGATAATATGGCATTGTTCTAAAAACACAGGGGAATCTGGGACTCATCCTACACTGGCTCGCATTAAGATGAAAATCTTTCAGATATCAATGTTGATAATACATGTTTGGGCTCATAACTAGTCCATAATACAAGAAACGAGACTTGGTTCATTTTCTGTACCTTCAATTTGGATTAAATAATTTTGGCGAGAAATTTGTTTAAATTTTAGAGTTAGCAGTTCCCAGCTTAAGTTGGACGTTGCAGGTACATTTAGTTTTTCCGCTTTCTGTTTCACAGCTTCTGGTTCAGAGTTCAGTTTTCCAGGTAAAATCGTTTTCATAAGTTTTACTGACAAGTGACAGTCAAATTCAAGATAACGTAAATTACTAGAGTTTTTCAGTAGTGTTTAAAATCGATATTAAACATCCATGTGTCCAATTTTGTGACCAAAAAATATTAATAACAAATCTAGAAGTGTCACAAGGTCTGATCGGCGTTCAGTTTTCTCTGCGGGAAAAAGCCAAAATGAATCGAACTGAAAGGTGAAAAACTGTATGCTGATTTTCTAAATGTTGTTCTGTGTGGAGTTCACCTGTCAAACCCAGTTGCTTCTCCAGCACAGCTTTCACACACACACACACACACACACACACACACACACACACACACACACACACACACACACACACACACACACACACACACACACACACACACACACACACACGCACACACACCCACACGCACACACACGCACCCCCCACACACACACACACTTAGTGTGATTCCAAGCAAAGAACAAATATTTAAACAGTTCTGCAACACACTGACGTCCATCACGTTTTACATTTCAAAAAAAGATAGTGAATGAGTTCTTGTCGTTTTTCTGATGTTAGTCATTGTGAACTTCTAAAGATCTATATGAGTTTCTGTCATTTTGCTTTTGTTTTGTTTGTCTAAATCCTGACATTTCTCTTCATTTTGCTTTTGCAACCCCATCAAAACTGTTTTCTGTCATCTTGCGTCTGGCCCCAGAGGACTGTGGGTTACTATTCTACTGTGTGGCATTCATCTGTACTCAAAAGGAATTTACATGAAATTGTGGCTTTACAATTTCATGTAAAGCAACATAAAATTGTGCATAACTGTGAAGCTGAAGTTCACATAACTGTGAAGCTGAAGTTCACAGTTCAGCTTGAGCTGAACTGTGGACTTCGAAAGCACATTTACTTCGAATGCACATTTAAGTGCATATGTATTCAGCCCCTTTCACTGTGAGACCACTAAATAAAATCCATTCCCTTTCAGAATCCATGTGTAAAATTCGGTTGCAGTATAAATTGTTATTGAACCAAACCCTTTTTTAATCTAATGTCCTGAAATTAGAATACAAAAAAAGTCCTCCTCCTGCACCTTTATGAACTAATTTGTGAATTAATTATGTAAAAAAAAATCTAAAGTACATTAAAGCGTATGTTTTCTTTGTGGTCAAAATGAAAACTGTGAGTATGAAATCTTTTGCAACACTGCAGATGCACTCCTAGCTATTAGTTGTCTCTTTGTTTTGGCTCCTCCCTTCTCCCTTCACTCTCACCTCTGACGCGATGAGCTCCAGTCCCCGACACTGCCTGTCCTTCTCCTGCTGCAGGAGACTCCACATCTCTGGGTCATCCTGGGCCAAACTTTCCTGCCCCGTCCACCCGCCGCCGCCGTGCTTCAGCCTGCATTGCTCTGAGGTGACCTGCCCCTCTCTCCCCAAACAACCCGAGACTCTGAGGAAGAGGGGCTTCAGCATGACACAAAGGAAAAAGGGACACAGTTAACATTGTCACTCACTAAGAAAACACGCGCTTCTTAAATAATGAACGTTAAAGTCACAACGATCCTTTGTGTTTTCTGCTGCTAAAACCGAGTTTATTTATCTATTTTTTGAAAGAAACGACTGGCGTCTTTTGAAATGCTCATGAAGGCTGAACTTGGGTAAAAAATGCTTTCATCACTTGAAATTATGATACTCTGCAGGAAGTGTTTGAAAGAATGACTTAGAATAATGTGTCTTTTGATGTTCTGAGAAAAGCCATTAAGTGAAAGGCTGTGCAAAAACAAATGTGCTATTCAGCAGGGCAGTTATGAAAAACGTTGGACTGGAAAGGTCTACGTAGACTGACCACCAGGGTGTTGTTTGTTAAAGCAGGTATGCATGCACGATACTTTTGAAACCAGGAGCTACTTCGCCGGTGCTAAAGAAGAAATAGTCACAAAAACAGGATTCTTATGTCTATTTGTTTGGCATACGCTTTGCATAATAAAACAGACTTTGCTGCTTTTTGTTACTTTATATGACAGACAATGAAACCATGCATGTTGCATGCAGACAGCTCTGGCAGGGTTGAGATGAACTACAATGGCATGCTGACCTAGTTTGCAATATTTAAGTTATTTAGTCACAACCGCTCCATTGTGCAGAGGGGAAAATAAGTCCTTTAGACAATATACAGTTGCATTGTTGTGCAATGAATCACCAGACAAAATTACTCACCCTCAGTGTCTGCCGCAGTGACAGAGAGAGCATGTTTGTCACAGCAGAGGTCCGGGGAAAACTGGAAACTTTCAAGGTGCAAAGGGTGAACGCACAATCATTCTGGACCGACGCCAGGTACATGCGTAGTCTGTGTCACTGATAACATGAAAAGTGCATTAAATCTTCCTCTGAATTGGTTCACTGAAGTCAAGATGACGAATGGAGTCAACAGATGCTTCTGAACACGAATCAGTAGAGGAAGTAGTTTCCAGATTAGAGAAAACACAAACATCCATCGGTGTAATTGAAGACAATCTTACATTTATAAATATATACATTATGCAGAATAATGAAATCCAATGTTTGACTTATCAAATGGGAAAATCAAGTATATCGCTAACTTTTCTTTTAGGAAAACCTGGCATGTGGAATGATGGGAGCAGTTTCATGTTAATACTATTTACAAAGTCACACTGCTCTCTTAAACCTCTTCAATGTGCATTTCTAGTCAGAAAAGATGCCAGACGCTTTCAATTTCAGAATCCCAGGATTTTTTTTTCTTTTTTGTGTTTGTTTGATCAATATACAGTATAGACAGTAAATGTTCCAGCTGCGGAGCCTCTGCTCATCCGAGGTGCTGCTGGTTCTGCTCTGCCTGAAAGTTGTGATCCGGACAGACCTTCTGCACCAGCCTGTAGTCCGTGCCGGTGAAGGCGATGAAGATGCATATGACCTTGAAGGGTTTGGCGCAGATCCACGCTGCCTGGGACTGCGTGTTTTCCGAGTAGCAGGTCTGCCCTGGGTCGTACATGCATGGCTTGGTCTTCTTGGACCGGTTGGTTCGCTGGTACTCGATGCGGCAGTTGAGCTCGGTCACCATCATCATGTCCCGCTGATATTTCTGATGCTCAGTAGGAGCGGAGCTGGTGGACGGCGGGGGGATCAGATCTGGGAACAGGACAGAGTTTTTATTGGGGCTGCTGTCGACCGCGCCGTCCAGAACCTCCCATCCCACCGCTTTGGATGGCGGGACGATGCTGACGGATATGTTCCCCAGACGGGAAGAGTTGTGCCGGAAGTAGACGCTGAACGTCCCATTGATGTGGTCCACAATTTTCCCAGTCACCAGGAGGCTGAACTTCATGGTTTTCACGTTGAAGTAGAAATCCCCCCAGCCCAGGATCTTCTTGGCCTTTGTGGAGGTTTTGGCAGGAGGCTTGGATTTGGGAGGAGCGCCGTACAGATACTGGTCTGGAGCTTGTGAAAAGTTCTGTGGCCAGCCGTAGGGGCTCAGTGCGCCGTATGTATGGGTTTTGTGTTTTGTGGAGATGATTTGTAAATCTTTGGATACATGTTTAACCTTCAGTGCTGCTCCCTCAGGTTTTTCTCCTGCTCCTGCGGCCCTCCATTGTTTGCTCTTTAGACTTAGAGGACCAGATGACTCCTGTACCTGCAGAAAAAATATATTAGATGGATCATTTATTCAACAAGTTGACTGACCCTATCAGAAAGCTGTAGCTGAAACAGTTCATGTTTAAGTTGAGCTTTTCCACGTTTTGCCATGAAACTTCACTGGAATTCATTTGGATTCCGTGTAATTTGTCAATACAAAATAGTGCATTAAGGTGAAGTGGAAACATGGTTTGGGTGTGTATCATGCATGTACAGTAAAATGTACAGTAATACCTGATCATTTAGAATATCACAGAGAAGTAACTCAATTCACTAAGTATACAGATTCATTATTTATGTTTTTAAGCCTTATTTCTGTTAACTGTGATGATTTTCACCAAACAACTCATGAAAATATGGCATTTAAGATTTAAATTTTACATCAAAAAAACAAAATTATGTATGTTTTTTATACATGACAAACATGCTTAATACTTATATAAGCGTTATTCATTTAAAGGCACTGTTAATTTGACATATGTGCCTCAGTGGAAAGCATAACTATTTTATCCAGGCATATGCTACATGCTTGCTGCACTTTGGTGCATGAACTGAAATCAAATTAAATAGATTTCAACTCATTATCCATAATAAACTACCTTGAAATAATATGAAAATGATTCAATACAGACTTACCCATCGGGGGTGACCACAAGAGAAGAAGGACAATTTCACTGTAAGTACACTAAACGCTGTCAAATAATCGATTCAAATAATGATTCCTCTGCCTTTCACTCTCCTCTGAAACTGCCGCTGATCAATAAGTTATTTCCTTCAGGCAAACTGCCATTAACAAATTATAATCTGTTTTCAGTCGTCCTTCAGCTCGGCCCCTGTGGAAACTGTCAGTCATCCTTTCTGTGCAACCTTGATGATTGGCTACATCTAGTCATTTATTCATTTGTTTGAGAAGGACCTTTTTAAAACCAAATAAATAACTAAATAAGAACGATGAAACTACTTCAGCATATCTTTAGTCAGAAGCGACGCAATTTGTTGAAGAGGCCCTTCTCTCCTCTTCATCTTCCTCTCAATCATTCAGTCTTATGTCCTAACATGTTCATGAATGCTACACTTGGAATCATTAGGGGACTAAATATAGCTTTGCTGTGTTAAATTTCCCCATCTCTACTTTTTGAGGTTTATTAGTAGATCCTGTTTAGATCACAAACTCTTTTCTTATTTTCCCACCAAGGAGAAGAAGAATTTGCTTACACAGGAAAAAGCATATTTCTAAACTCATCTCTTTGCAGGTGTGTATGTCTGAGAATAGCAGGAGCTTCACATGTCAGAAGCTATGTTTATCAAATTAATGTCAATGACTAGTTGACAAACAATAACAAAACAATCTGAGGCGGAGGCAGGGTGAGAATTCAGATCACCATGTTCTTCCAAACCATAAACGTAATTTTGTTCCATGTCACCTGTTATTTAAAACACGTGTGCCATGTAAAGGTCGCGGCCCTGTTTCCGGAAAGCTGCGTTTACTTCAGGGACGCTCAGAGAGCGCTGGACTAAAACCAGTCTTGAATAACACAGCAACACAGAGAAGTAGTTTTGTGATCTTCTGTTTTCATGAGAAACAAACATGTAGTGCTTTTTTATTGTTATCATTAAACGGCTAAAAATCATTAAACACCGAGCACATCCTGTTTACAAACCAGCTTGGTTTGAACCAGGCAATCTCCGACTTCTGGCTATTTTATAAGAATTTTACATGAAGAGTAGGAATTCAGATTTTGTTTCATCCAGTCACCAGCTCAGTGTCAAGATGAAAATCCTACCTCTAGCCACTGTGAGTTGAAACTTTGATTGGATGAAGATCAAAGTCTGCATGTTGACGCTGGCATTTTAACAAATTGAAATTGTCACAGTGAGACACCAGAATTTGTGAGGCCTCACAAATTCTGCTGCTCTGAGTACAAGTGGATCCATTTCCAACAAAATAAAGATGAAGGCAGAAACCTGGTAGACGAATGAGAAACGGGAAGTGTTTTTAAAAATGATTTTATTATGTGAAAATTTCACCCTTAAAGATATAAAAGTGTCCATCTGCATTGACCGCCTGCACTGAAATTGTTCAGAGGGCTGCAAATGGCCACTGAGCCTCACTTTGGACCTGATGTAATTTATTCCACGTTCAGCATGACTGTGTGTTCACAGTAATCTGAATCTTTAGTTTTTTTGCCAGTGAATTTTCTATTCTTGTAGGCCAGAAAAAGTTTAGCTTTTAACAAGACTTCTTATGATTTTCTTTTAAAAATTTAGATTCTTTTTGCCACTCTTCCTAGATGATCCAATTTGATCATTGAACAACCAATATTCATCCTGCAAAAATTCACCCACCTGAGCTCTTCCTTTGTGCAGCTGCTCTACAAACTTTGCATCTACTTCTCTAATTAAAGCTGTCTTTGTTATACTTTCTGGTGGATGGCAAGTTGCACAACACTGAACAGTGAGATGATCAAAACTTGGAATATTTCTGGTCAATCACATAAACTCATTAAAATCAAATACATTCAAGCTAACGGGATATATATACTTTCGCAATGTGATGCATGTCTGGTATTTAACAAGCGGTGCAGAAGGTTCTGCTCAGCTTGTTTACATTGAAACAAAGAAGGGAAAAAGTAAAAAAAAAACGGACAAAAGCTTTTGGCTCTTTGCGCCTCTACTTCTGCACCTGAGTGTGCTCCGGCTGTGCCTATTGCTGCAAACCTCGCCTAATTGGAGCTCACAATGTGACAGCCGTGTCACCAGCTCAGTGTCAAGATGCCAGCACAATGACTGCGACTGAGAAATGGTGGAGAGGAGAGGATGCAAGCAAGGAAGCACCAGCAAAGGTAAAAAAAAATAAATAAATGCCACTGAATTAAATTGCTAAAGAAGAAAAAGATTATGGGCTGAAGGCTTTGTTTTATCTAAGGATGGGGAGAATATTCTTGCCACTGGGGGGACAATCCTTAATGTGACAGTTTTATAAAAGTAAAGAAAACATAAAAACAACAGCCCTCAAACTCTGAGGAGATTAAACTCTTTCAAAACCAGGAGACCCTCTGAAGTCATTTGCTTCAACTTTTACAGCTCAAAATGACACCGCTTTGAGCTTTCTTTCTTTTTTCTTTTTTTTTTTTTGCTTAGCAAGTTCGTCGGCAAAGTTAGGCGTTTTAAATGATCTGTTTGGGCAGAAAAATAAATTCAGGAGTGCATAATAAATTACAGCTGCACCTGGAAGAAAATCACAAACAAGAGAGCAGGAGCTGTGCTGCTTCACAGAATAATGACTCGTGTCCTATGTGACAAAAATATGTTTATGTTTTTGCATCATTTTGAATTTTGTAACCAAAAAAAAAAAGAAATAAAACAAAGGATTGCCACAAAATCTGAAAGTTAAATGCTTTTAATAAAGCAAATTAAATATAAAATTTGGCAGGCTGACCAGGTTTCTGAATCTCTAATCAATACATGCCAAGTTGTATAAATACATATATAATAAAGAGATCATAAAGGGTTTGATTTCAGCTCTCAGCACAAAAACAATCCCTAATGAGAGAGAGAGAGAAAAATAAAAAAATCTATGGAAATGAATTCATTTTTTGGAGGCAAGAAGATGAGGAAACACATTTGCTGGCAAGAGATGATTTATGACCTCCTGCTTGTTTCCCCAACGAGAAGAACTTCAAATTTGAGTTGCACTGCAAACAACAGCACTTTGAGTAAATAACGAGCTCAGCCTCAGCTGCAGAGTGGACTCACCGTGCCGGGAAGGAGCCACAGACAGGTGATGGCAAAGTTCAAACAAAGAGTCCTCATTCTGCAGCTGCAGCAGAGATTGTCCGTCCACAGAGCCGCGGCGCGTCTGTCTGACTGATTCCCTGAATTAAAGCCTGCACTCTCACTTCCTGGCTGGAGGAGACTCTAGAAATCCTCCAGATTTGAAGTGAACCCGCTTCAGCTCTCCTCCTCTCCAGCGCTGTGCCTCTTTCTCTCTCACTCCTCTTCAGCACACACACACACACACACGCACACACACACACACACGCACACCCACACACGCACACACACACGCACACACACACCCACACACACGCACACACGCACACACACACACACACACACACGCACACCCACACACACGCACACACACACACACACACACACACATACACACCCTTGCACACACACACACGTGCATACGCACACACACGCATGCATGCAAGTCAAACTCAACAAAAAAAAATATTTTCCCAAAAGAAAAGCAGTGCCTAAGCAACATTTTACCCAGTAAGTATAAACCTACTGCCGAGTGGTTCAGCACACACACACACACACACACACACACACACACACACACACACACACACACACACACACACACACACACACACACACACACACATACACGCACACACACACACACACACCCACCCGCACACACGCACACACACACACACACACACACACGCACACACACACACACACCCACCCGCACACACGCACACACCACACACACACACACCACACACACACACACACACACACCACACACACACACACACACACACACACACACCCTTCACCTGCCTCCATTCTCATTTTCAGCACCTGGCCGGCCCTCATTATGACTCATCAACCCGAGGAAAGGCTCTCTGAGGCAGGCACAGTTTGACAGCCGTCCCTGCTGTCCCCACGTACTTTAGCCGCAGGGAGGCTGACAAAATGACAAGGGCTTTCTTCAGGAAAAAAATAAAATATATATATACATATGCTGACAACTGGTGAGCGTCACTCCTTCAGTTTTTCGCTGGAAATTCAAGCCAACAGATCGCCCACCAGTACTAACCGAACCGAGGTCCTAAATAAAGATCCATAATAAACGTGTGTGATAACGCTAAATAGCTCAACGTTTTCTGGCCAGTTTGACACTTTTCATGTACCCTCCTCATGAGTATGTTCAGCTCAGCTTTTTCACAATTTGGCCAATTTTATATATATATATATATATATATATAGTTATTTATTATAACTATATATATATATATATATATATATATATATATATATATATATATATATATATATATATATATATATATATATATATATATATATATAGTTATTTATTATAACTATATATAATATAGTTATAATAACAGGGCTAAACAGAATTAGCCCTGTTTAATACAGTTTTAATACATATTAAAACTGTATTTATTTTTACAGCATAACTTTGCCTAAGCAATGTCACATTAGATGAATGGAGTCTATGGACTTTTCACATTTTTAGATGAATTGGATTCAGTTCTGTACTTTGACTGGACCGTCTTTCCACATGAAAATGCGCTGATCTAAATCCTTCCAGTATAACTCTGGCTATTTGTTTAGGTACTGTTGCCCTGCTAGAAGATGAATCAGCCTGATTTGCAGGATTGCTCCGTCTTTAACCCTCATTCTTATTCAATCAACTCTGACCAGCTGTCCTTGTGGTATCAGGGTCAGTGGGATAAACTTCCCTTTTCCACTTTTCATTTCCAGAACTTCAAAAGAAGTTTCTTCCACTGTGCTGCTGTGTTGGTCTGTCAACTAAAATCTATTTTTTATGAAAGTTTTTTTTAAATGACTCAACTTGCAGTTTGAAAATTATATGTCTAATGATTTATCCAGTATGTCACAAATAGTCTTTATAATACTTTTTCACATTTTCACTATGAAAATATGAAATATATAAATATATATATATACATTTCCGCAACGTACTTGGGTCTACAGAATCGCTTGCGCATGCGTGCCAGTGTATGCAGGTGTTCACGATGTTCTTAAATCTTTTAACACCACGGCGCGTCCAGTAGAAATAACCAAACTTTCATTTTGCTCAGAATAAGAGTGAAGAGAATGAACGTCACGTCACTCTTTACCCACAATGCAAAGCGCATTGCACGATTATTTACGTAGTTCTATTTCAGTTTATACATTGCCTGGAATTTAATTTTTACTATTTTCAACAGAACGATCAAAACGGAGAAAGTGTGTGTGAATACCTTCGCAGTGTTTACATTTGCTCAAGTTGTTTTAGGAAAACCGTCGATGAAAAGTGAGTGTGAAAGAATGACCTCTGGTTTCGGCGCCTCTGCTCGTCATGCACTCTTGTTTCTCTTCAGATCGTATAAATCTTTCGCCTTTTACTAAAGATTTCCGTGGAGAGGAACAATAAGAGTTTGTCCGAATTTTTTGATGCCCTGCTAAAGTGGGGCACTCTTTCTCTGTAACAAGGAAACTTTAGAAACAAACTTGAAAACGTTTCACATGACCGTTCACGGGTTTGGTCGCTATTGGTCGACCCACATTGAGTTATCTCTGATTCCAATGAGAGATATTGTGTTGTAAAGACTACAAGTGGCCGCTAGATGTCACAGGTTCACTGGTTTTCTGTGGTGAGTTACCGAAAACAATTTTTTGGGAAATCTCAGTTTCAAGAGTAACTTAAAAACATAATTTAAAGACATATAGCGGTCAAGACGTGCATTTGCTTTCAAACAGATGTACAATTAATCAGAAAAACAGGACACAAAATTGCAAAACTTCTACTGTAGTATTTTTATTTGACATGCAAAGCTTTTTAAAGTCAGCTAAGGGAAAATGTAGAGTCATTAGGATTTACAGCTACATAAGTTACAACACAGTATTTGAATTGTATTGGGAAAAATATAGAGGGTTTTACTAAATTAGCCCTGTTTAATTAAAAAAAATTCTAGTCTTAATCTGGTATGTCTTTCACAATTCAACTGGAAACAAATGAATGACTGAAAAATATACAAATTAAAAACATTATGTTGCACCCCTTGAACGTTTGATTCAAAATCAGCATTTAGTTTTCTTTGCAATAAGTCGATCAGTAAAGCACCTATCGACTTGGTGATATTTACACATTAAATCTCTTCTCATCTCCACTGCGTGGGCACATTGACTGGTTTACGGTAATGTAGCTCCAAGCTCAGCAAGTTTCAATGAACTGAACCAGCACTGCATTTTCAGTTACTACCGTTCAATAGCTACAGTAGCTCAGCTGTTGGATCTGACTGAATTAAGTGTCTTGACCTCGTCCGAAGTACATCGATAAGCTTCCAGAGTTTAGATTAGGACGCACAAAACTTCAGGAATCCCTCAGGAAAGTTCCTCTGGGAATCACGTTCACTCGAAACTTTAAACTCCAAAATAAACAATGAAGCGTTAAGGTCATTTTAGTTTTGTCCCAAACTTGCTTTGGCAAATGAGTTTTTATGTTCCTAAGATCTGAAAAGTGCATTCTTCGATAATCAGTAACAAGTGAACACATTTGAGCACCACTTGTTACTTTTTCAACCTTCTACCGGTTGTCCATACACACACCTTCATCTCCTACGTTATTTATTGAAAACTACAACGGTGCTTTGCTTTGTTTCCACGTTACCACTGGCGCACCAAAGCCTTGAAATAAAATATTTAAATAGAGACTTGGTGATCCTCAAATACTGCTCTTTGCTGGAGTTTCCTGATGAAAAATTATTATTATTTTTTTTACATCTCTTACCATTCTTTCTCCGTGTGACATAGAACATAGGTTTAACGAACCCACCAATTGTAGCTCTTTTATAGTAACCTTGTTCTGTGGTAACCTTATTTTTAGGGGAACAAATGATGGGGATAAGATTCCAGCCAGAATAGGAATTTTTAAGTGGCGAGCTAATTACCCCTTTTGACCTGGACATGGATAAAATATTCTTATGGTAAATATTATGCTTTATTCCTATCCTGCAGTGTAGAAAATAAAAACTCTCTTGATTTTCCCATTTTGAAGAAATGTAGCACTTTATAATAACAGCCAAAAGAAAGAGAAAGTCATGAATAAATAATAATAATTAAAAAAAAACATAATAAATTTATTCAAAATAAAATTAATGTTTTCCTTAAATAATTCAATGTGAGATTATGTTAACTCAAACAAAAAAATATTTCTTTTAAGTCTTATGAAACACCTTTATCACATACTGTATCTTCTACATACTGTAGAAGATACAGCATGTGCAACTGCACAACCCTGTATAGAACATGAAATATGTCGACATGTTTTTAGATTTAACTCAGAGTTGGTGCCTATTAAATGTATCTAAGGGGAAAAAAAAAATTTTTAATCTCATAGACAATCATTAACTGGCAATCTGCATTTGCTTCTTCATCTCTAGATGGAAGCTAGTTCCATTTTTCTACTTGTTATTTAGACCTGAGCTCACAAAATATCAGCAGGCAATGCTTAGTTTAAAGTGTGCTAACCTTAACTCAACAGTCTAAAACGCTGACAAAGAAAATAACAAAAGCTTTCTCAAATGATCAGCATGTCAACAACAGAAATAGATCACAGCAATCACAATAAAAGAAAACTGATTTTCTTTTGTAGATCTATGTTTTTTTCTTGCATATTGTTGCACTTTATGTGAATGTGATCTCCTGAAGAAGATCTGCAGGGAAGTAGCCCAGCTTGCGTCCAGTGCTGACCTTCAGGTAGCCCGCTTTCTCATCTCCTTTCTTCACTACAATCTGAAAGACAATTGTCTTGTTTTATCGTTTTTGCATCTTTCTTTATATTTTAAAGGTGCGTCACATTGTTAGAGTGTGCATGTGCTAGATTCTGGAAACTCACCTGGTCTTTCTTGAGGGTAATTTGTCCCATTTCTCTGTTGCCCACAAAGGAGCGGGTCACCTTGTAAACCCTTTCTGACGCGCGCACTTTGATGAGGTAGTCGGCAGGGAAGTAGCCGGTCTTCTCCCCCATCTTCCCCTGATAACATAAAGAAGAGTGTCAGAATTGATCTTGAAGGCTGCACAGTGTTATAAATCTATGTAATGAATGAAACCCACCCTCCACCACTCTTCATTGGAATCGTCCAGAACTATGATCCGATCACCAGGGCTGATCGAGTCAAAATGGAGTTTTGAGCAATTAGGGTTGATTTATCAAATTCCGCCAATGGAAAACATGTCATTACTTATAAAGTGAACACGCCGAGACTCATTTAGATCTGTCAAACATACTGAAAGTCGAGGTCGTCTTTCTCGATGGCTTTGAAGCGGTAGAGAGCCAGGTAGTAGTGAGACCCGGTGAAGGTGCCTTTAGCCTGTTGACATAAAGCACGGACCATTCAGCAGGAGAGAAACGATGAAATCATTTACCTCCATTTGCAGTTTAAAGAACATGAAGTTTGCTCTCACCTTGTCATCCGCTTTGTCTCCACCTTTTTCTTTTTTATCTTCAGGCTTCCCTGCATGAGCACCAGAAACAGTAACTCAGAAACAGGGACTAATTTTTCTTTTTTTCTGTGTGTCTCAGCACTTTACCAAACTAATCTATTTGTAATTGTTTGAACAAGTTATTATTTATGTCTTCTAAATGATCTGTGGTTTTCACTATCTAGGGTAACATCACAATTTTAGTTTGACCTTCTCCTCCCTCTTCGTTTTCTTTGGGTTGTTGGTTTTCTTCTTCCTCCTCTTCCATCATCATCATCATCTGGATGACACAGTATGTGAAACTCAGCATGGTAAACCAAAATGATCATTTATTGATGTTTCAAATTTATGTTTGAATCACTTAAACGTTAGCGCACCATTAACATCTTTAACAGTGCACTGCTCTTGTTCTTTTTTATTACTCACATTCTTCTTGTCGTTTTCATTCTTTTTGCGCTCCTTGTTGGCCATGATGACGCCAACCCTCAAGGTATCAAAGACGGGGTCGTTCCGGTTCGGGTTGTCTGGTATCAGCGCATTATTTTAAACCAAGTTATGATGGTAGTCATGTCACCAATCAGTTTGCAGTGTGAGGGTTCCTTTACCGAGTCTAGAAAATGTATCATCGTAGTAAAGAACAAGTGCAAGTTAAGCTTTGAAGGACTCACTTGGGTCTGGTTGGTCACTGCTGTACAGAGGGGAGCTGTAGGCCCGTCTGAAGCCTGGTGGCTGCAGAGAATCACAATACTTGATTTTTTTTTACACAACTCTGTCTTTAATGGTGCAAAGAAATTGGATATTTGGATGACTTGTATAGTGAAGAAAAACCCACAATTTTTCCAAAGCACCTCTGGAACTCGACGTAGTGTTGACACGAATGATGGATGTTGGTCTTGCAGTTCTTGCACCTCAGACAGAATTTGTTGTTCACTAGGTGATGTGCAAAGGAATATCAGTGAGACGAACCTGACACCATGTGGTTGTAGCAGTGGTTCAGGTGCAGAATGTATTATGAGTTTGCTTCCTGCATAATACATACAAACAATCATGCGAGCACAGACGTCACAGAACTTGGGCTTCTTGCAGTAATGGTCCTTAAACTTGTGGGGTTTGTCATTGATCCGAATAACAGGCTCTGGAGGAGGCTCCGGTTCCTTCTCCTCCACCTCCACCTCCTCCTCATAGATGAAATAGACCTGGAGAAACAAATAAGATCCTGAGGTAAGTTTTTACGTGCCTTATTTCAGGCTGGATTTGGATGTGCAGTGACATTTGGAAAGGTGGCTTAAGTTTTAAAACTCCTCATTTCTGGTTTGGTTATTAGAAGATTTTTTTTCCCTTCAAAGAGACAGAAAAGACACTATGAGTTTGTAATCTTAGTGTTGAAAATGCCGTTGAACTGTTGTCCTGGCTCGAGGTCGGAGCTATTTTAAACACCCTGAGAATGGCCCTGCTAACATTGGCTGGTTATTATGGTGCTACGACTCACAGTGTCTCCATCTTCCCTCACTACGTTGTCAGGAGCTGGAGGATTGTCATGAATATCCACAGAGTTTTTGTCATCCTCCCTGACACACAGATATTCACAAACACACACACACACACACGCACAAAGGAAAGGAAAGGAAAACACAAAAAAGAGGTTCAGATGGTTCTTATTGGGAAAAGAAAGGTTTGTTCAGGTCGTCAGACAACAAATGCAAATGTCCAACTGCCTGAAGTAGGACATTAATATAAAATATGATTTAGCTATGTGGTATTTTGTCATACACGCAGGCAAAGGGTTACCATTGCAAGCTTGGCTTAATTTTAATGGCCTTTATTCCTTTTCTGAACCAATTTTGATATTTTTATTTGTAAAAAAAAAAATTGTTGAAAAAAATATGCCATCTTCCATCCTTTTTGATAGTTGTGCACTACCTTGTGATGGTCACTCCCAATAAAATACATTGAAGTCTGCGGCTCTAAGGAGGCATGCATGCAAACCTAGCCCTCCGGTAACACTGCTGAAAGTTTGTCCGATGCTACATTCAAGAAATTAATGCATGTAACAAAAATCTTACACAATATGTCTCTTCATGTAAACATGGAGTTGCTTTGTCTGTAATTGTGCAGAAGAAGATAGGAGAACTGAACTGAGTGTTTAGCTTTTGATAATTATGGATATTAAACGGCGTGCAGGAGGAGAAGCGTGCAGGAACTGTACTCACTGATCCATGGTGCAAAGCTGAACTTGTCAATCCACCAAAGTCTAAAAGAAATCAGAACAATTTTATTGTTGCACTACTGGCCGTCCCATTCAGGATGCATGTTGATTATATAAACAACCACAGTTTGATCACATCTTCTAAATGCTGTGCATCTCATGTTTTGCTATGAATGATTATATGTAGACATATATAGTCAATGCATGGAAGAACCCATATGTATAAAAGCAATAGAAAATATGCCCAGGACAGATACTATTATTACTATTTTCATTTTGTTCCTGTTCACCCCATTTCTAATGCTGCCTTCATACTTCGTATAAAAAGCACTACTATATACAACTTAAATGTGTTGAATTAAATATGTCAATTACAGAGGACGATGTGGTGGAAACCAAACGTAAACCCATGAAAAATATCACTTATCTACACATGAACGTGTGATTTTGTTGAATAATATTAAAAACAGTTAATAGGAAAAACCAAAGAAATGCTTTTGCCATAAAGTGAATACTCCACAGAAACTCAAATGCAGAAACAAGCACCAAACTAAAATGCACCGTTTACAGTGTTTATAGCAATCGCTTGAAGCGCACAAAGTGTTTGGGGGCATTGGTCTGCTTAAACTGGACTATTCTTGGTTGGTGAAATTTGATCTCATCTCAACTAAATTTGGAAGTTGCTGGCAGTCAAAAAAGAAGAAGAAAAATTACATTTTGAAATCCAGCACTGGAGAAATACTGCTTCTACGATCATTAGGTGTCAGCCGTACTTTCTCAGAGAAACCAAGGCAAACAAGGCAAAAGATCAGAGCCTCTTTTGGTCTGTAGAGAGATATTTTAATAAAAGAATACAACATTTAAGCTGAAACACTTACCTTCAGTTCAAACTTGTACAGATCAGGCTGAAGTCTTCACCAGCTCGTATTATTAGTTTGGGTTAAGTCTGAGAAAGGAAGCTGACCAAAATCTTTCTTCACTTTTAGGGCCTCAGGATTCAGTGTCTGTCTATAATCCCTCTGATATTTTTTTAATGTTATTTCTTCTCTGATTCTCGGCTCCCTCTGTGACTCAAACTCTCCTAGATTTGGGAAGGTCTTTGTGATGTGTATCCTTGATTTTCTGGGTGTAATTGTATGCACGGCAGGCTGAGCCCCGCTATGTGAAGTTGATGGGTCGGAACAGCTGAGGACCTCAGACTGAGCACCAGCGACGCTGGAAATCAGATACATTCTCTCTGAGTGGCGACATTACGTGCACGCACGCACACACACAGCTCTTTTGTCTTGTACCATTCATTCACAGGCCACAGAAGTACACAAAGAGGCAAGTTGAGGTATTTATAGATAATTATGCTTACAAGCCATGCAGTGGTAAATGATTTGAATGTTCTGTAAGAAAATAAAATAGAAGTAATGCCTAGAGAAATAAGATTTTTTTTGTGAAACAGCTCTATAGGCTCACCACAGCAAAGTAATATGCAATCTTGTCTAAACTATCCCCATCTCTGGATTTCATATTTGCTAATTTCATTTTTTTTTTAATTATTTAATGCACTTCTTTGTCTATTTAATGATGTTTTTACCCAGTTTTTTATTGTGCCCACACAATTCTAAATACAAAAATAAATCTTTATTGCTTGAGGTTTTCTTTGACTTCAGCGTTTCAACTATTAAACCATTATTCAACGCAAATAGGTTGGGAGTCCCACAGTGATTTAAAGACAATTTGCTGTTCTTGAATTTGACCAAAGCTGTCTTAGTGAGTTTAGCTATTCCCACAAGGTTAGTAATTTCATTGCGCTAATTGACAGCAATGAAATGCAAAACCTATTTGTAAAAGCCTCACTGCGGACTAGACCTGAGGGTTAGCCTCAAAGACGGAACGGTTTCTTTTATATGTAGCAATATCTTGCACCTGATCAAATAAATTTGAACTAATAAAATAAATAGTGTTTTTCAACCATCTTTACACTTCTGTGTAATACAAAAAAAAATTATCTAGTTAGATATTCAATTTCTGATAAGATAATATTTTAACGCGGCCAGTTTAGAAGTTTTAACACGCTCTTTAAACACTTTCAAAGTGGGAAAGATTGGCTTCCACTCAAATCTTAATAAGCCAATATAATCTTAGAGCGTTTGACCAAAAAAACAAACAAACAAACAAACAAACAAAAAAACTTACATATGCCAACCCTCAGTGAACAAAGGAAATAGTGAAAAATACACAAGTGGAAGAAATCTCATGTAACACACAAATATTACCCAATAAATCATAGCTTTAGTGTGCTTTCAGAATATTGCATTAAGAAGAAACTAATAATTGACTTTGGCATCACTTCATGTTTATGTTAAAAGATTCTGGTCGAATATGTGTCCAAATCTAAATGTTCGTATATTTTGTGAATTCTTCTATAATGCGTCCAATTAATTTGTATTTATTCTTCTTTGATGCCGACTATTTATTCTTCTTTGATGCCATTGGCATTTTTTTGATGCCTAAGGCATCAAAAAAATGTATTCAATAAGGGTAAAGCTTTTTTTTTTTCTTCTTCTTCTTCTTCTTGTTCTGTTGGAGCTCAACTTGATGCAGTGGCTCTGTGAAAGGTTAACATCAAAGCCAGGTCGAGGTTGCAGTTTTGTTTCCACAGAGCCACCGGGAATTTGAATTTTTTTTTTTTTTTTACAACTGTGGGAGTTTTAATAATGTGTTGTGCAACATTTTGACCAGGGAGATTTAAAAATATAGTAAGCTGTTAATGTAAATATTTATTGTGTTTTTAGTAGCCTTGACTTGAGTATTTATTGTTAATTTATTTGAATAATAAATATTTTGGTAAAATCTTCTTCTTCTTCTCTTCTTCAATGAAAGTTCTGAGGAAACTCAAAAGCGACACAATGAGCGAAACGCTGTTCAGGAGCCGAAAGAGCCGGTTCTCTTTGATGAACTGAGCCAACTGATTCGGATCTCAGAACAGAGCCACAATTCACATCACTGTTCGCAACACTACAAAGGTCCCGTTGCATGTTGGGTACAATATTCCTGGAGCACTGAATGCGCATGCTCAAAAGAAAACTCCATTATTTTTGCTCGGAATTTGTAAGAAAAAAAAAACACAGTGGATAACTGTGAATTGGGGATTACATGGGTCGTTATGTTTTGTCGAAATAGGGTTGAATGCACCGAGAATTAGCAGGAGGAGAGACCAAAGTACGGATCTTATAGCTGTGGAGCGGGCGCGGGACATCCCTCTGTCTTGCTGGGACACTCCAGAAACAAGTAAATTTCACTCTGTTAGCTCCTCCAGCTAGCCTTAGCAGGGAGCGTTAGGCGCAGTAAAATGAACCGTTATTGCCCTTTGTTTTTTTTTTTTTGTTTTTTTTTAAGTCGGACTGGCTGACTAAACCCTGAGAGCTGATTCACCGCGCGAATACGTGGTTTGGGTTATATAACCATCTAAATGTACAATTATTTAATAAAGTATTAATCGTTTTCGAAACATACTCTCTCCAGTTCCGTGGCTAACTGGCTAAGTCTTAATTTGAGCCCAAAAAGAGCGAAGACTTCAAAACTTGGCCACGCACAGCGTGAAGCAAACAAATGTTCAGTAAATATTGACGTTAGCGGACAGATGCCTGTAAGTAAGTGTAAAACGATGTCCAAATTATTCTTATTTTTATTGTGAGGCAGTTTTTTTAAGCTGGTCAGTTCATGTATCCGTAGCTAAGACGCAGGAGTTACGCATCGGGAGTGTTTTGTGCTCCTGACAGCTGTCACGACAACAGAAGTGGATTTAGCCTGTTAGCTTAGCCGTTAGCTCACACGCTAGCTGCTATGCATTTACTGCAGTATTACAAATTTATGTGCAGACATAGTGCGAATTCAGGTAAAGTTTAGCCTTCGTGCCGGGTTTTGTCTTGTCGTTTAAGTTTGTTGTTGGTAAGGCAAATGTTCGCACTGTAGGCAACCATTCAATAAACTAAAGGCCTAGCAAAACACGCCCTCATACTTCAAAATAGCCACAGCTCGACCTAAACTTGTACAAGTTCAGTAAATGAGATATAATCATTTTTCAGCCAACGCTGAACGAGAAAATATTTACTGCACCATTTATTTTGCCCCCTCCCCCCTGCCTGATTACATAATCCACCTCCACCTTTCTTTGCAGGCTCTTCTTCTTCCTCCTAAGACCCAAAAACTCTGATGTGAGTTGAACAGACTGATTTGTTGGAAACAACCCAAAAGTTAAGGATCAGCCTCACAGTGGTGGAAATTCCAGTTGTTTTGGACAAGTCAGGTTTTACGGGCAGAGTGAATGCTTCTCACCCACCAGCATGTACATTGGACAACGGATACCTTAGCCAAAATAGATCCTGGCTTCCCGAAGATGACAAGGTATTGAGCATCTTATTATTCTCTTCTTTATTTGTCTTGCAGTTTTTAATAAATAGTTTACTGTCATTTGTGTAAAATCTGTATGTTTTCTTTGGTGTGGCCACACCCACTAAATAGGGAACACAGTGAGTTCTGCTCAATCAGGACTGTTTTTAAGAAAGACTGTACTTCTTGGAAAACCATAAGCAAATAATTAAATGTTGGAATTAAATGCTTTTTTTTTGGGTGTGTGGAAACTGATATAAAACTACAGAAGTGTGCATACTTTTGTGCTGTTTGTATTTACAGTCCACCTGACTGGGCATAGTCAGGGATGAGTTTCTTGAGATACTTTAGCCTTGTGTAAAAATAACACGGTTACACTTAATTAAAATAATGTAGAGCATATTCTAACTGCTTTCTTTAAAACTGAAAAGCAACACACTGCTTCTAAAATGTCACTCCACATTTGAATATGATTATCTTCTGGCATAGGATACAGAAGAAACATGCAATGCATAAAAGTTTTTTCTGTAAATGTGCTTATGGGATTGAACATTACACTTCCTTGCTGTTCTGCTCCTTATTTGCAGGTTAATTAGGGCGCTTGAATAACCAGCCTGCTGTTGAATGCTTAATAGACTTGCTGCTTGTAGAGTACCAGCTGTAGTTTTAAAAGTGTTGTCCTTCTCTCTTCCGCATCCAAAGTCTGCTAGTTGTCTTTCAGCCATCAGTGCACAGCAACAGCTGGGGAGGGGCATTGCTAGGTTTGATCTGTACTCCTCACAGATGGGCAAAATCTTTTCCTTTTGACATTTCAGTGGTGTTGAAATCAGAACAGTTTATAACCTTAGTTTACCTTTATACTTAACCTATGGAGCTAGTTTAATATTTTCAAAAATAATCACATTCTAACTTTATTGTATCTTCTTGAAACTTTGTTACAGCCTTTCCATTTAATTTAGTTCTGATTTTCATTTGACTTTTATGAACCATAAAAAATTAGCTCCACAGATGCGCCGAGATGGCTCTATGTGACTTCCTGTTTGTACATATTTCCAATTGGAGCCACAAAACAAAATTTCAGAGGTGTAGAAAGCAGAAAATGACTTTTGTGGTTTCAGGAAGCACAACATTTTGAGCTGACTGCTATGAATAGACGTTTGGTCAGCACAAAAAATGCCGCAGTAGACAGCTTAATTTTGTGCTCTTAAAAGTTGTGTGTGAAATGAAAATAGTGAAAAGACTTGCACCTCTAGTTTACACCTCTAGTGTTTGTTTTGGGAATGTTGTTGAAATGTATTTACTTGTACGTATGAAATGACGTCAGATGTATATAAAATTTAACATGGTTCAGCCATGGCGTTATTTCTAATGACTGTAAAACATCAAAATGAGTTTGAATTGAATTGTTTAAAGAGTCAATTAAACAATTGATTCTTGTTTAATTGAGTAACTGGTTCTGAAGGCCAGGTACTTCTGGCCTACAATGTTCTGAAGTAAAAGTGAAATAAACGAATAAGAGAATGAATCTGTCAACAATGTTTCAAACTCATGTGACTTTAAATTTACAAATTCCTAAAGTTTTTAGTTTAATTTGATTTCAGAACATTTAAAATTCCATCCGTTTAAACTGCCATTCGTCTAACAGCGTGCTGTAACCCTTTACTGCTTTTACAAGGTGCTGGCAGGACGCAGCGACAAAATGATGGGAGGCAGTGAGACCGTCAGCAGAGACAAGGATACGGTCCATGCTGCTGCAATACATGTCCCCATTGGCTGGCTCCGGAGAGTGGAGAGAGGGC